GGCAAGACGAAGCAAGGCCAAGGACAGCATCCGGCCGCGTTGAATCGGGGATTTGTAAGGTCCAGCCGTTCTGTAGGATGTGTCGGGGCGAGCAATTCCAAAGCGTTCTGGAACGCACTGGAACGATTTATCCCTGTCCCAGCCCCGCCCGACCTCGTCCCGGGACCAAGCTCCATGATGGCCCCGTGGAAGCCTAGCCTGAGGGTACAACACCGATCGCTCGATCGACGACCTCGACCCTCGATCGATCGATCAACGACCTCGATCCTCAACCGATCGGTTTGTCACTCGTCGTGGCCCTGCTCGGCCAGGGGGCCCCGAAGCCTTCCCCGGGACCAGCTATTCGTCCCGAGTCGGCTCTCTGGCAGCCCCAGGGTTGGAGGCCTGGAAGTTGGCACCAACACCAACACAGAGGGCTGCCTCCACAGGGGGAAGATGACCCTAGATTTCGGTGTTGGTGGTGATATTTCGGCCACCTTGGAAGCCAGAAGATTGCCACCATCACCGAGACCAGGACCTTCTTCCCTCGGTGGAGGCACGCCGCCGATATTGGTGTCGGTGCCAACCTCGAGGCCTGCGACAGGGGCCCGGGGGAGGGGCCCCGAGAGAGAGAGAGAGAGAGAGCCCGCAGAGGCGTGTCGAGGAGGAGGAGGAGGAGGAGGAGGAGGAGGAGGAGGAGGAGGAGAAGGAGGGCGAAGACGAGGAGGAGGGCGAAAACGAGGAGGAGTAGGAGGAGGAGGAGGAGGAGGAGGAGGAGGAGGAGGAGAAGGAGGGCGAAGACGAGGAGGAGGGCGAAAACGAGGAGGAGTAGGAGGAGGAGGAGGCGGAGGAAGAGCAGCATCGCGCCAAAGGCACGGCCCGCGCCCCGAGCTGTCTGCGGCACATCTCGAGGCGGGCCGACATCCGTGACGGCCCTGGGGCCCAGAACTCGGCGGCGAGCCCAGGGGGGGAAGCCAGAAGGGGGCGGGCGGAGGCCCTCCGAGAAGCTCCCCAAGCGTCCTCCGAAAACGCAGGCGGCTTCTCGGAAGGCCGGCGGGCTTCTGAGGAGTCCACGCCGGCTTCTGAGGAAGGCCTGCTCCCCTCTCGCTCCCCCCCCTCGCGCGCTGCCGAGAAACCACGCCCGGCATGACAAAAGTGGCAACGCTTAGGTCGGGCGTGTCCCCCTGCAGGCGGCTCTTGGACGAACACATAGGAAAGAAAAAACCCAAATGCGCCCCAAATATTTCAAAGATTGTGTAACCATCGTCCCCAGACTATTTTTGGCTATTTTGGAATACTCCCCCTGTAGAGGGACAGGCCCGACTTGAGGCAACGCCCAGATCTCAGGGCGCGCCGATCTTCCCGAGAGGCAGGGCCAGAGGCTGCCCGCCGCTGCCTCGGCGAGCGGGGTCCGCGGGCGGCGCGGCCGCGGCGGGTGCGCCCGCGGAGGGCGCGAGGGCATTATCGACGACGAGGGGGGTCCACTGTTTTGTCCCCTGAATGGGAGAGGGGCAGGGAGGGGATGGGAAAGCAGGGAACCCAGACCCCCGACGTCATGATTTGTTCGTTACGTCGGCCCCCAAAGGTCTGGATCCATTCCCCGGGACCGGTGTTTCGTCCCGAGTCGTTTTCTAGCGGTCCCGAGGGCCGGTAAGGGCCCCCAGAAGCCAAAGATAAAGAAAAACCTCCCGTCGTGATTTTTTCATAACTCGAGGGGGTCTGGGGGGGGGGGGGGGGAAGCAGGGAAGCAGGGACGCGACGAGCTCGCGCCGGGAGGAGCGCGCGCAGAGAGTCAACGTTTTTTGCGGCGCGCGCGCGCGCCGCGGACGAGCCTCTATAGGCACAGTGACGCCATGGCTCCGCGTGTCGACTCTCTTTGAAAAGGCGTGGCGGAGCACCCCTGCCGTGTTCCCGCTGGGAGGGCGCCCGCCAGCCTACGCTTCAGTCGGGCCTGTCCTCCCACAGGGGGACTTTGGACGAAGGATAAAACATGGACAAAGCATACACCAAAATAATCAGTCAGAAATACAAAACAAATCATCCACTGACTATTTTTTGGCTGCTTTTGAATCTTCCCCCTGTAGAGGAACAGGCCCGAATTAAGCCTACGCGCCCGCAGCAACCCTTGCTGGGCCCATCCTGGGACCAGGATCGGCCCAGCCAGGACCGGTGCAGGTGTGAAGTCGGGCCTGTCCTCCCGCAGGAGGACCCTGGAGGCAAAGTGAAGAATACCCCAAACATACCCAAACAAAGCCCAAGACGTCGGAGGTAAATGAAGACGTGGCGGAAGAGGAGGCGGAGAGAGGAGGTAGGAGGAGGAGGAGGGAGGAGGAGGGGAGGAGGAGGAGGGAGGAGGAGGAGGAGGAGGAGGAGGCGAGGAGGGAGGAAGGAGGAGAGGAGAGGAGGAGAGGAGATGAGGAGGAGAGGAGGAGGGGGAGGGAGGGGGGCAAGCCCGGCTCTTAGTGCGCGTGCAGAGCCGGCGCCCTCTCCGCTGCTCGCCCCCGCAGAAGGGCGGGGACCGCGGCGCGACGCCGCACACCCTGCCTCCTCTCCTCCTCCTCCCGCCTCCTCCTCCCTCCTCCTCCTCCTCCTCCTCCTCCTCCTCCTCCTCCTCCTCCTATTCTATTCTATTCACGTTGGGAGTGTCTGTCAATGCCAGACGCCCCTAACAGCAAAACAGAGCTAGTCCGAATCCTCTCCCCTCTGGGGGGGCTCCTGACCAGCAGGCGGCAACAAGCCGAACTTGGAGTAGAGCTCGGGAATCGTCCAAGCTTCACCCCACGTGGAATCAAAAACTACACCGTCCTCAGCCTCCACATCCTCCAAAACCTGGACTCCCCTCCTCGTGGCACGAACCAGCGCAAGGAGGTCTGATGGCAGCGGCGCCCTCTGGTCGCTGACTCGCCACCCTCTGTACTGCTTGGCCCAGCTGGGGAAGAGGCCTTTAAACGGACGGTTCCTCTGTTGCTTCAAATCCTTAGTGGGGGGCTGCGTGGGGCAAGGTTTGCACAACGTGTCTACCCCGCCCCACGCGTAGCCCCCACATCTGATGCAACTCATCACCCAACCACTCCCCGCCACCCGAGCTCCCGCCCCGTCCCAGACCTTATACATTCTAAGGTTGTGACCTTGCAAGAGCACGATAGCTTGGCTCTCAGATACAGCTTTGGCACTGGAAACACTAGCCTTCGTGTCCGAAAACAGGGGAGTTTTAAAACTCATCAGGGTCCTTCTCACACCGAGACGATCGGCCGCCTGCAGAGACCTGCGCTCGAAGGCACGCTGCCTCTTAGCCTTCGCATGCCAGGATGGTGCAGGGGCCAGGCCGTCCTGCCCAACAGAGGGCACAGGAAAACCAGTTGAGTCCGACCACGAACGCTGGTTCATGAGGACGTCCTGGACCCCTCCCCACCGAATTATTTCCTCCTGGAGACTCTGCAGGGCACCTACTTGCACCTTGGCCTGAGAGACGTCAGGGTGTTTGGATGCACCAAGCTTAGCAAACCTATCTGCATGCCGATTCCCTTGCCTCTCGAAGGCAGTGGTTCGGCCCTCAAGAATATCATTCATCGTGGCGTGCCCCAACGTTTTGTGGGCCACAATTCCATCTTCAAAAACATGCCAGACACGAGACCACATATGGGCCCTGGGATTACTCGAGCCTATCGATCCATGTCGATCCCAGACGCACCCCAGGGTCCCTTCACAGTCCGTGTAGGTTTCAAAACTGCCTGCAGCAATGTCAGCAAGCATCACATACGCGAAATCTTCCCCATCACGTGCCTGCTGGAACGGTGCCGCCTGTACTGGCACTGGACCATATGCAGCTGAGATGAGGTCACCATTAGCCGACACCGCACAGATCGACCATCCAGCTCGACGAAACCTGGAAGAGGTGGGGTCGAGAGCCGATCCATCCGTGAAGAGGTGACCCGACAACATCCCACTAGCAGGTTTATTAAACCAAAAAACTTGGCACTCACTGGTCGATAACGCTGGGGTCGTGATCTCACGCGGATCTGGCATCAGCCCAGCAGCAAACTTTTCGAGATCTTGACCGAGCTCATATGCTAATCTGGCTGCGCGCTTGGTCTCGTCGCTGAGGTGCTCCCGACGGTCAGCATCGAAGGCAGCGCACTCGAATCTCCTGTGGAATAGGGTTCCTGGGGCACCTAAGCAGAGACGACACACATTGTCTGGAGCAAGGTGTTGATCACATAATCTCTGTTGAGTCCAGGTGCCCATGGAGAAACAATTGCGAGCACACGCCTGATGGTGGTCATGCCAAACCTCATTTTTGGCCCCGTTGATGACCTTCAAGGCCCCTTCCAAAAACACAGGACGGACCCAGGACTTATTGAGGCACGGTCGAATCTTCAAGCCTTTCACATCAGCCCTGTGTCCTGCATCTCTTTCCGCCAGATCTCTGACCGACAACGGGGCAAGCTGGAGGAGGTCAACTTTCCCACCGTCCGCTTTCAGCAAGATCCTCGCACTGACAGGCCGCCAACCTATTTCCGACAGCGTGAGCAGCAAGACGTGCGCAGGCGAAGTTGCACTCAGCCACGGCCTGCGCGTAGAAGACATTGCATCCACAGCAAGCTCGAACACATACTGCATCACATACAAAGGAGGTGTGCCATCCCATATTGCACGCGCCCATTGATGTATTACATTGACATGATACAGGATGTACGGGTCCATGGCTCTGCCCCTATCATGTGTGCGCAGCTTGTATGACGTGATCGCTCCAGCTTTATGCTTGGATATACTCTTGCACGCTGCTACCCTTAGAGTGTGTACTTGGCTTGCAGTAAGACCCGCTACAGCTGTACCCCATAGAGCTCCCGCTTGAGGCCCCGCTCTGTATACATTACTTATCTCCGCACCAGCCACTTTCAGTTTCCAGAGCCGTCGGGCTTTCCGAGCTGCACCTCGGAAAGCCCGACGGCTTCTTTCACCGTGTGCTTAAGATGCTTCCAGGCTTTCTGGAGACCTTCTGAAACCTCCTGAGCCGACGCCAAGACGACCGTTTTCTTCCCAGAGACGACCAACTCCAAGTCATCAAACCCCTGTCTTAGTTGGATGCCCGCTGCTGAGAGATTCTCTACAACAAACTTGGCAGTGCCCAGCAGCTGCAGCGAAACGTCGTCGACGACGTTCCTAATGTACAGGGAGGGGAAAGTCTGCGCCAAGCAGCACAGGACGCGGTACAAGACTATCTTGGCGAATGAAGTCGCCAAGCTGCAGCCAGCCAATATGGTGCCCGCCGTGCGAAAAAAAAAAAAAACCCGACGTCGCTCCAGAGAAATCGATGGCCCTGGGCCCCGTGTACAGAGCAATAACACAAACTGTAAGGCCCAGATGACACCCACTCTGTTTGGCTTCATCGAACAGAATCCCAGGAGCAACTCTTTCATAAAACTTCTCGAGGTCTTTGCACCGCGTGGCCGACTCGAAACCTTTAGCCCGTGCAAATTCAGCAACCATTGCATGTTGCCATCCAGCACGGTCACACTCCTTGTCCCTGGAGCCCCAAAAGAACGGAGTACGATGTTGAGCCTCCCAGGCCCTCATTTCACACTGCCTAACTCGGCCCCAGAACCTGAAAAGCGACAGGATGAGCGCCAAAGGCCTGAGGGCCTCCCCTTCTTGCTTGCCCTGAAAGACAATGATCGTGGGGTACTTATCTGGAATGCTGAAAGGGTCCCTCTCCCAGGCCATCATCACATCTATGCGCCTAATGAGGAAATCCTGAGGCAGCAGGGCCCAAGACCTCGGGTTGATGTCATCCGCTCCGAGGCCCGTTTCGTGCTTGAAGCGGTGCAGAGCCCACCTCACAACTTGCAGATCAGGTCTTCCAAGAGGTTCCGACTGTTTGGCCAACTCCAGCTGCACTTCTGAAAGCCCCGACCTATGACTCTGCCAATACCCGTTCCATTCTCTCTCGAGCGCCTGGATCGCCATGTCCCCCTGGAGTTCAAACCCTTGGTCCCCCCGAGGTCCGACTACAGGCATCTTCATCTTGCTGTACCTGTGGGCCTCCTTGCCTCCCTTAGTCACTGACTCCTTAGCCCACGCTTTCCACTTAGCCCATCTCCTACGCGAGTGCTGGCTGAGCAGGTGATCGTGCGTTGATCTGGCCGCGGGCAGGAAAAAGCCCAGCTCTCGGCCTTCCGTGCCCGTGATAGCCTCGATAATGTCGCTGATCGAAGGCGCAATGACTAAAAACTGAGGCAGCAGCAGCTCTTCGTCTAGTCGAAGTAGGCCTGCCTTGACTCTCTCCCAAAGCGTGCCCTCGAAGTTGTTCGCAGCACAGTGTTCAGCTTTAGCAAGCAAGGCCACGAGCGAGCGCCACGCCCTAAGCTGGGGAGTAGAGTTGGAGAACCACTTCTTCCGCAGAAACAGCTCCAGAGGCAAGACCTTCCGCTGGAACCCCTGGGACCTCCCAAGATAAACCTGTCTAGCTTTACCGTATATATCACATATTCGACAAAGCTCAAACTCCATATTGGTAATCCACTGTTCCCAAGAGCCCAAGAAATCGATATCATCTCGTCCAGGATCCCAAGACCAAACTCTATGTTCAGGCTGTCTGATACACCCTATAGGCTTCTTTGTCGGGAAGCGCTTCCTCTTAAGCCTAACGTGGATCGGGATTGTCATCGAGACTCCTTTCAACCAAAGTTCGACAGGCGAGTGGGGACTGATGGGCGCGTCGTGGAGCACCCTGACACTCTCGACGCACTGGCTCAGGCCGTGCGACAGCAAGAAAAAATCTAGATTGTTGCCAACTCCTGCACTGCACGTCGCTTCAGCTGAAGCCACCACCGACGCTCCAAGCTGGGAGCACCAAGCTTTCAGACCTTCAGAGTTCGGCTCCATGTTAGCGTCGCAGCCGATGACCCAGGGCACGGTGAGGGACTCCAGGAACCTTCCAAGCCCAGCTAAGAGGTCCGCATTCTCGCCCTTGACCCCGATCGAATGCCAGAAATACACAGAGACCCAGACAATGCCCCCAGGGAGTACTGCTTGAACATGCCTAGCACAGACCCTACCTGCGGCTTGGGGCACCTTGGTGATCTCCTGGGCCTCTAAGGTCTTCTGATTCAAGAACTTCCGAGCTCCCGTCACCACCCCAGCAGACGTAGACAGCACATGATCACCAGTGCTGACAGCAGGTACAAAGTCCACGCAAAGTCCTTTACACCTGAGGGCCTTTCGATGCTTATCGATCTCCTCCTGGGCTCTGATCCTGGTTTCCTGCCCAGCGTAGAAGTGGGGAGGTGGGAGGCCATGCTTTTCATCCAGCCTCCAGTCCAGGACGGTTTCCCAAGAAGCCCAGGAATTAGCATTACACGTCATGAAGCCCCAGCTTTTGTCCTTTTGCTTTTTGGCCCTGACCCGCTTGGACCCAGGCTTGGCAGGTTGATTGCCCCTGCCTGCTCGGTCAGCCCCATCTTCATCACGCAATGGTAGCTGCAAGTCCTGTGGCGAAGCCGCAGCCGCTGGCCTAGGAAGCGGAGAGGGTGCAGGTGCATCGTGGCTGAGGCGCATCCTACGACGATCATCGGCAGCATCATCATCATCTGGCTCACGCTGAGGTACCTGCTCATCACCTTGCTGCAGGGCATCGTCTGCGGGTGTTGGCCAAGGTAGCCCATCACGTCCGACAAGAGGCAGGATTTCCCCATCAGCATCTTCGCGATATTCTCGCACTGCTGGGGGGGCAGCGTTACCCAGGTAGAGCCTCATTACTCTGCGCGTGTGCCGCAGAGCTCTGAAGTGCCGACTGACTGCCCTTTCCCAAGACTCATGCGACTCGCGTCTGCCGACCCAGTTCATGTACTCAATCACGTTCCTTCGGCCAGGTCCCGAACTCTGCCAGCAGCCGTAGCAGATATCTTGAGCCATCTGCTCCATCGAGCGTCCAGCCGCTGCCTCTTGAGTCCACGATGCCACTTGAAGTTTCGCCATGACGTAAGGTACGCACCAGGTCATCCAATCGTGGTACCCGCTGGACTCGCAATCTAGTCTAAGTATCCATCCAGTCGCCCTCAGAATCATCGCATCAAGAAAACTCTGCTGAGGTGAATTTGGATCCTCTGGAGGTGGCTCAACCTCCATGTCAGTGGGCTCTCTCAATTTACTCACCGCATTCTGACATATCGAGGCCCCCCGATGGTCGGTACTGCCGCCCTCCTTTGCCTGATCGGCTTGAGAGCGACAGTGCGTGCCATCGGGGCCGGCTGCATGACGACGACTGCCCCCAGACGGGGCCGCACAGGTAGTCGACAAGGTACCCAAGCCTGCAGATGTGCTCAAGGTCGCTCTTGGCCTCGACCCCGAGAAGCGGGCCAGTCGAGGCAATTCAGGTAGATCGGCGTGTGGTGCAGCGTCTTCCTGTGGCGACTTCTGCGGCTCCCAAGGAGCCGTGAGTGCGCCGCTCGACGCAGAAGCACTCGAACACGCACCTGCTCTCGACGTCCGTGTGGGCTGTGGGGGGTGACGAACGGGGGCTGAATCCCCGACCCCACAGCCCAGGCTGCCCACCTCTGGCACGTAGTACTTCGGGTCAAACCTGGCATCATCGAACATCTGTGAGCGCTGCAGAGAGGGGATCTGAAACCCAACGTCAGGCCACTCCACATCAATCTCCTTCCCAGCCAAAAACTTGCCAGGCATGATAACTTGCTGCATCTCAACCTCATGCTGCACATCATTACGTTGATCCTCAGCTGGCAACTCATCGCATATCACGTAGCACTCGTAGTGCATGCTGACGAAGTAGAGCAGGAATTCTAGCGACAGCTCACCTTGACTCAACTGTTCTGATGCTGCCTCCGAACCGCTCAATCGAACAACCTCGGACGAGTTACCCTCTCTTTCGCCTCTTTGCCATGGCTGCAATCTGTTCTGCCAGTAGACGCTTGGCTCTGGTAAGCTCCTGCTCAGCCTTAGCTTTATCGTCGCCAGTTGCTGAGGTGGCAGCCGACATGGCTGCGGCCACGCTGGCCTGTGCCTGTCCAAGCTTATCGATGTCCTCATCAGCGTCGTCGAGGTCCATGTCGGCGTCGTCGAGGTCATCGGCGTCGTCGTCTGGCTCACAACCCCCTGGCACAGCAGGAGGAGGGCGCATAGCGTTGCTTGCAGCAACAGCTTGGGCCTCCATGAGCTTGCGGAGCGTCTCGAAATGCGCATCCTCATTTGCTTTCTTGGAGACGAACCATTCCCTGAATTCAGTACTGGCACCCGCCAAAATCGACTCGTCCATCTTAAGTATGGGCCCGCTGCCGTCTGAGCAGAAGCCCTTGGCGAAGGTTTCCTTGGCCTCTTGCTGCAAGGCCAGCTGTTGACGCCGTGTTTCCTGCAGCGCCGTCTCAGCATCCGCGAGCTTCTTATCCAGCTCGTCCTTCGCCTTCTGTATTTCTTCCCTGGTGTCCGAGACATGCTTCTCCAACTTCGTGACATTGTCCCTCGCCCTCTCCAGTCTGGTAGTGACTGAGTGAGCTTGTACGCGTAGAGGTTTGGCCTCCTGGATCTGGTGCTGCAGCTGTGCGACCATGTCCTCCGCCATCCTCTTGTCAGTGTCGTGCACCGAGAGCCGCGCCGCCTTCTGCCAGTGGGCGAGCCTGTCCTTGAGCTCCTTCTCAGCTGACTCCACCTTGTCGGCCCATGGCGGCGACTTGGCCACCACTCTGGTTGCGGGCTTCTCCAAGCTCTCGAGCCTCTTGACAATCGCCTGTAGTGCCTTGTCCAAGGATGCAGGAGCCCCATCGGCCCACCTGCCCTTGGGCCCTTTCTGCCCAGCAGCTCCGTTCCCTGCAACTTCCCGTTCGTGTGCCGCCTTGGCTGCCTTGGCGACCGCAGCAGGAGCTGGTGAGCCGCAGGCGCAGCGGATCCTGCACGCCCAATTGCCTTTCCTGTGGCACTTCGTGCAGCTCCACAATGGCTTCTTCGGCCCCAGAAGGATGTCCTTTGGCGCCGCATCGCCACCCATGAGGTAGGGAAGTGAAGCCGATGCTCCCACAGGAGCTCACTGAAACGCAAAAAACCCTCCTGACCTAGGCCGGGAGGTGCACTGTCGGGGGCCGCTGCAATCCCCCAGGCCAGAAAGGTCAGTCCGAGCCGAGACCGCTACGGACTTGAGCCAAAATGGCTACGGTCCCTCCTCCTCCTCCTCCTCCTCCTACTCCTCCTCCTCCTCCCTCTCGTCCTCGTCCTCCCCCCCCTCCTCCTCCTCCTCCTTTTCTTCCCCCTCTCCTTCCTCATCCTCCTCCTTTCCGCCTGGTGCGCGCACACAGTCGCCCCGAAGCCGCGGGGGCTCGAGCCCAGCGGGGGGATGAACGGGGCTGTGGGCACGCTGCCGTGAAAGAACAGAGTCCGGAGGGAACAGGCGCGACGGCGCACACCCTGCCCAAACGCCAGGAAGTGCGCGCACTTGCCGCCCCGAAGCGGTGGGAACTCGAGCCAAGCGGGGGGACGAACGGGGCTGTGGGCACACAAAACCTTGCAGGCGGGCAACTTGGGTCAGGTCCAGGGCGGGGACGTCCACCCCGTATCGGTGGAAGCTGGCAGGGTCCCTGGACCCAACAGAGGGCCGGAACCCAGGGGGCCCGCGCGCGATCTCTGGCGAAGGCCCAGCCGCAGACGAGGGCTCAACACCGCCGCCCCCGGACGACGCAGCACTGTGCCCCATCTGCCATGAAAGAAAAGAGTCCGGAGGGGAACGGGCTCTAGACTTCGGTCTGACATGTCCTCCTGCAGGCGGATATTTTGACGGAGCAATTGAAAATGGCAGGGGGTACTCGGAAGTAGTTTGACAATAATCGGAATACCGCCCCCAGACTATTTCTGAACTACTCTTGAAGATTCCTCCTGTAGAGTTAGGTCGGGCCTGTCCCCCTACTGGCGGATTATGGGCGGAAAATAAAACAGCTCCCTAACAATACCCTTGAAATGGTCAACAAAATGCTGAACAATTCGTCCCCCGACTTTTTTTACTATTTTGGAATATTTCCCCTGTAGAGGGACATGCCCCACTTAACTGTAGAAGGACATGCCTGACTTCACTCTGGACCCCAGCGTTTTCTCCGGCTCCGGCTCTTCGCCCCGACCCGTTCTCTGACGGCCTTCTTCTGGGGCCCGGGCAGGGCGAAAAGCCTCAGAGGAGGAGGAGGAGGAGGAGGAGGAGGAGGAGGAGGGCGAGAAGGAGGAGGAGGAGGAGGAGGAGGAGGAGGAGGAGGACCAGCGCATCTGACTGAATGGGTTCTTGTCTGGGCGGCTATGGGCGGCTAGCTGCCGCTGCTGCTGCTGCTTGAAATTCCCAACGAACGTTGCGTCTCTCGAATCATCATGTCAAGAGGAATGGGAGCAGCAAAGACGATGGGGCCATGCATGCCATCCTTGGGATGTCTGCACGACCTGAAATAGCGTATAGCCGTTATATTGTTATTCGATTTGGGCTCTTTGAGGCACGCTTTCTGGAAACCTCTGGCCATGAATTCGGAGTAGACTCCGCAGTTCCAGCAGGCCATTACACAGCTCTCATTTTCGAGGCGGTCGGAAACATACATATATATATATATACAAATTATGGCCATTACGGTTGAGGGAGAGGTGAGAGAGGCTCGGGCAGGTGCCTGGGCATCTCTCGTGTTGGCGACGGGTCTTGGCTCCCGTTGTTAAAACTCGTGTGCGACACAGCTCGCACATCCATCTACCTCTTAGCCAGACCCACTTGTGGTACTGCCCTGGTTCTCTCTGACCACGGGAGGCACCAGCAACGGCCCCAGGACCCACAGGGGGAGGGGGAGGCGGAGGCGGAGCAGGGGCGATTAGGGCAGCACCCACAAGGGGCTTTACAGCCGGCTTGAAAACTGGTTTCCCGCATGCTTTTCCCCCTGGCTTCGGCGCTATGGCGGGCCAGGTGAGCATGGCTTGTGAGACGAACCGCAGGAAACGCTTGATGAAGGCCTGATCGGCCTGATACTTATCGATTTCGGCTTCCGAGGGGCCCCCGAGCTTCTTCGCGGCCGCTTTGGCGATTCGGTCGGCAACGTCGTTCCCGAGGGCCAGAAACTTTTCGCGGGAGCCTTCTGGAAGGCGGTCTAAATCCTGGTGCGCTTTTACTTTACAAACTTGGGGGAGGGCACCTCCAGTGTGTTTACCTTTGGCAACTAGCTCCAGCCCAGAGTACATATTATTTCTATCAAAGCCTACTTGACTGTACTTTCTTATGGCTCCTAAGTGGTCCGAGTGGACCTGGGTAATGTTAGGGTACATGTGGCTGATGGCAAGGGCAAGATGCTCCGCTGCTCCTGATGTGGGCGGCAGAGCGGCTCCTGTCTGTCCAGACAGGTGTGCCTTGCAGTCACCCGGTTCGTCCATCACAACTACCGACCAGCCCGTTTGATGCCAAACGGTGGGGCCTTGCTCATAGCAGGATCCGTCAACAAAAGCCTCGCCAGACATGGCCTCTTTAAGCGGGGCCCCGTTTTTGGACCAGAACTCAAAAGCAAAGCCGACCCCCGAGGGCCTTATAAACACGGGGTCGGGAAGGTATTGAAAACCATGGGCTAGTGGAGCTTCACTGGGGTACCCTCGAAGATATTCTAGATCGGGGGCCTCTAAGGTGTCACTTCTGATGTCATCGGCGAGCTGGCAGTTGAAACGGTGCTGCAAGGCATCTGTCGGGTGTCCGCACTCGCATACCTGGTCGATCTCATAACCTGCTGCAGCCAAGCGGGACCTGGTCCAGAGACATTGGGTAAGGTAGGCCAGGAGGCAGCCCCTCTGGGGCTTGGCAAGGTTCGGGTCGCCCATTGCGGCCGAGCAATCCAGACGGTCCTGAGGGTGCCCCATTTTGGCTGCTGCTTTAAACTCGAGCTGCGCCTTCCAGGCGTCCTCCAAGTGGTACTTGAGGAGGGCTGGCGGGGTCGCAGTGAGCTGGAGGATGAGGCCTTGGCTCGTCTCTATCTCGAACGGGTTGAGGAGCTTCCAACCTATCCTCTTGCGGCTCAGCCGGGCGGCCCCCATGGGCCCTCGGCATGCGCTCCAGCTTTTTTGGGGGTTATCCAAGATACGGTTCTCCTTCTGTTTCAAAGCACCGTGATCACACTTGAGCAAGCCAGGTTGGGCCGAGATCCTCCATGCCAAAAGACTGTAGTATATGATGAGCCCCAAGGCGGCCTTCCAGGAGGGGTCTCCAAGCAGGCGCAGGCTCGGGACTCGGGATCTCGTAGGGCTTCTGGGGCCAACGGTGCTGAGGTAGAAGTTCTGGCTCTGGGCGAGTTCTGAATCGGTCAGGCCCACCACTTCGCCCCCGTAATGGTTGGCCTGGTCGAGGCCTGTGTTGTACAACTTCCGCACGTCGGCCCCGGCCGTTTTGATGGCCTGGAGCCGGCGCCTGCGGTGCTTCATCTTCTTGAAACGGAGGCGCAGAACAGCGCGGCCGCGGCCGCTGCGGACGCGACCTCCAGCCGTGTAGTCTATGCCGAGGTTGGCGGCGGCGTCGACCCGCTCCAAAGCCTGGTGTCCTGCTAGTGAGCCGAGGGCCTTGACCAGGGGCTCACGAACCTTTACGGAGGAGGCTAAGACGGCTGACTTATGGGGGGCAATGTTGCTGTCTAGATCCTCCTCTATGGTGTCCTTCATACTCTTTGAGGCTCCTGCAAGGGTCTTGGTCAGGGTCTTGGGGCACTTATCTTGGGCCTGTAAGATGATGTCATCATTAAACATGTGGAGGCTAGTATCTATGTTGTCCTGGACCCAGACATCGAGCGGTACAGTGCAATACATCTGTATAACGTAAGTGGCGAAGCTGCAGCCTGCGGGTACTCCATACTGCGGGCTGCCAACGAAGACTGCTTGCGACCTGTTGGCAACTAGACGGGGCGATCCATACTGGTTGGCAACCAAGACCGCCACAGCTTGATTGAGATCGGCGCCGACCGCTCTGGAAAACCATTTGTCCCGATTGATGTGTTCGTAGTAGTT